TGGAACCATATCGAGAGCGTCCACCGCGAGGAGCTAAAAGCGTACTCCACCGGACAAAAGCACTGCGGGATCTGCAAAGTACAGGGTGTCACCTTCACTCCACCATCCATCATGGAATTCAAGAGTCATACTCTGAGTGTACACGGTCCCCGTCTGCGCCCATGAGATGCAGATCGCGTCTGCAGAACGTAGCATCCAGAGAACGATACATAAACGTGACTAGTGACTGATTGCTTGAGATAATTCTCCCTTACTGTAGGCTACATCCTTACAGAGTTTGACTGTAATCGTGAAAAGTACGGTCTCGTGAATGAATCCACCACTATTCAGGAAACTGAGTCAAAGCCTTAGGGTCAACTTGCGTGCATGTCTTTCCCTCATAGTAATCTTCGCTTGGTGCTGGTTCTTGTTATCACGACTGGCCCTAATCCATTCTGGGTCAAAATCCTTCCGTCCCAGCTCGTCCTCCATTATACAAAACTGAGGGTCAATGCAGGTGGAGTTACCTCCCTTTATATAGATAGATTCAATTTCTCAATTACACTCGTTTAACTGTACATTCCAAATGGCAAAACTCAACCGTCTGGGTTCTACCTAGTAGCTCTTAATAACACCAGCGATAACCTGGCGACAAGTGGCGCAGGTTTCACCAATGGGGGGAACGCATTTCGGGCAATACCGATGTCCACACAGAAGGGTCCGCCACCCTGACGGGATGGTAAAACAGATCTGGCATCGACATTGATACTTCAGCTCACGGACTTTGGTCTCAAGCTTGTCAACCCGCTCATCCTTCCTAGCCATTTCCGCACGCAGGCGTTGCACTTCTTTCTCCAGCGCCTCTGTCCGCGCATGCTCCGCCTCGAAAATGTTATGGATTTCCTGGTTCGCGGTTTCCTATCCCAATATCAGCCAAGAAGGAGCCTCGCCATGGGCCCTACAGGGAGGAGTCTTACCAATACCGTGTCCAGGTTGGGCATTTTACGTCTTTTCGGTGGCTGCCACATTTCGGAGGGTGCCGGGTCGTCAAATTGAGCCTCATACATTGGGTAGCTGTAGTCTGTGCGGGGTCTCTTTCTTCGCAGCTTTCGCGCCGGGGGCTGGCGTTCATCCATCTCCGAATCTGAACTGATGACGACAGTGTGATGAAGCCCGTCGCGGGGACTATCAGCTGACGCCATGATTGAAAAATGGTGGTGCCCTGGAAAAACAAAGAGGACGAATGAAGAGCACCGCTGGGGGAAAATCGGGCTTTTTATGTTCGCTCAGTCGTCCTCGAGTACGCAAGGGCCTCTCGGTGGTTGGTGTCTCGCGGTGGTGTAGGATGAGAAGTGGAGAAGGAAATGGAAGAGGGACAGATCCACATTCTGGCAGGATGGGTCGAGATAATTAAGGAAGAGGGAGAACGGAAGGACTTGAGGGGGAAACCACGCATATTTATACCTGTAGCGAGAGCACAGCCGCCTCACAATCACAAGACCAGTCACGGCTGGGACAGGGGGTTGGCGGTGACCTGCAGCAATGTCTCCAAGGAGAGAAATGGGAGAACCGCGCCGGGGAAGGAGGCCAAAGGCTCCATCGGCGCCCCCGCAAGCACCCGCGACATCGACCACGGGAACCATAATCTCGATGAGGTTTCCCCTAACGGGTGGGACGATTTCACCGGCGCATTCATCGATACTCGCACCCCGCAGACCTGGGAATTTCCAGGATGATCACCTCCGGCATCACAACGCCTCGATGCAGGTCGCGCCTCAGATATTGCTTCATGTTGGGTGTTTTCGCTTAGAGTAGAGACACCATGGGCTCGAGCACAGAGGCGAAGCCAGGCCCACCTTTTCACTGGCACACATGGTTGGGTGAAGCTCGGCCTTTCTGATGCATGCCACCCCCTTGCTCTTTGTCCCCGGCGCTATCGATAGTAGGAAAGGGTTTGGCGGTTTGTCGATTCGACTTCATGGTGCATGGCCAGGGGGAAAAAGGGGGGTTGGATTAGGTTGACTGGTCGACATTGACTGGACGAGAGCCAGGTTGGCATGGGGGTGTGGCCAGGAGCACGTCTGCGTTGGTCCACCCCATCAATGCAACATCCCCCGGTTCGGCGGCTTCTTCAGTATGGATGATTGGCGATCCATGCAAGATGCATCTCAGCTACTATTTTTCCGTTGATCATGGGACATAGCCTCCTGGATTAAGATCGAGGGGAGAAGAGCACCCCATCATCTCATCTTGCAACATGGCTACCTTCATGTATGATATCACCTCCCCTGGACCTGCCGACAGTTCTCCCTCGCCTCAGCTGCACACAGTGCACCTCCTGGAAGTGTACACTCCTGATCCTCGGTCAAACAAAGAGCCCCAGCACCTCCTTCCAATGCCCATACCTATGCCTGTGCCCCTCTTCTCTGCGTCGGGTGACCTCTTTAAGAATGCAGCAAGTGAGATGTTTGCTGATTTTTTTGCACTGCCATCCACTGTCTCTGGTCTCAATGACATTAGCTGGGACGAATGGATCCTGTTTGACATCTCCTCAGTTGATGTCCCCTTCACTGTCACTTCAACTGTCGGATTTCTCCGACGACCCAATCAAGGAGGCTCACCCAAGCCTGAGCAATGTTGCCAATGACCTACCCAATTGATGAGAGCCAACTCCTCCCCTGGCCTTCAACTATCTAGAAGGCAACACATCGAAGGAGCTGTTGAATTACTCCGATGATTCCATCGAGGCTGACCCACGCCTGGGTGTATAGGTGAGACAGGGATGAGATGTACCAGATAGTAGGACGGATAGATTTACAAGAAACACGCAGATATGGCACACAAGGAAAGCTGTGAATGACATTGGACGATTTGCAGGAGCATGGAGGGTTGGAACTGCTGGCAGCTCACTGGAGTAACAATTGTCGTTGAACGAGGTCACGTGTATTATGTCAGCGAGTTGCTTAACGCTAATTGTTTTGTGTAACAATTGAAGGTCTCTTCATTCTCTTCATGATCTTCGTTTTCCTCTTTTGTTTTCTATGTTTGGTTTCTTCATTTCGTTTCACTTTACTTTTTCTTCTTCATTTTATCTATCCTGGCCGGCACACGCATCCAGAACTTGGAAATCCCACTTCGGATACAATCTCCCCAAACCGTATTTCGAGAGAACGCCCAGACCTCTCCCTCGGAATTCTCACGACGCCCGCTTGAAGAACCCACGTTGACCAATTTGGCTGACAAGTCATCGCTTACTTCGAATCACTAAATAACAAGTTCATACGAATTTCTTCAAACATTGTAGTATTAAACATAACACGCGCCACTAAATTACTTAGATATGAAAGCATGCGTTCACCCTCTGTTAAACAATATTCTAGCCATCATGCAATAGAGAATAGCCACCTCTGCCACAAGAAATTCTTAGCATTAACTTTTAGAGAATTGGCTTGCAGATCGCTAAGACCCGGTTTTTTTTTTGGCATGTAGATCTTTTTGGCTTGCAGATCTTTTTAGCTTGCAGTTTTGACTTGCATATCTTTTTTGCTTTTTTAATAGTTAATTTAAGCTTGCAGATCATTTTTCATGTGCAGACCCTTTTTCTTTAATATTTTTAAGCTTGTCAATTTTCAGATTTTTTTAAGCATAGAAAAAGCCATCGGCTGCTTTTGTGAACATATAAGTTCTTATTGCCACACAAAGCCTTCAGATAAAGTTACCTTTCTGTAACTATAAATTTTTTGTTATGTATCAATTTTTTAATTATGGCTGATTTGATTCAGGATCGCACTCGGGCAGATGGATATCAGAAAGTGCCTGGAATGACTGTTAGCTATTTACAAAGAGAATCAGCAGCTAAAAGAGACTAGATGATCCTAACAGATCTAGAAACTATCTATATATATAACAGTCGGCATGGGTCTGAAAGTGTAATGGTTTGTCTGCCACAGAATCTGCTATGTTTTGCATCTGCAGAGAACTTCGGTCAAAGGTCATAGGCCAGGATAGGTCCTGTGATCGCTGCTCTATGTTTGTAACTGACACAGGTCAGTCGGCACAGGTCAATTTGACCTGTGTCGAACAGATCTGTGTCAGCGTAACTGTGCCAGCTCACATAAGCACCTTGACCCAGAATGGATTAGTCATAACAACAATCATAGAACAAAGTGCAATCTGGATCTCAAAAGATTCAGCCGGATACAGTGACAAGTAGCAAATACGGTAGCTTCCCAGAGTTGGTCCCGCCCTCAAAAGTGCCATCTTACAATTTAGATCACACAGAAGTGAATAAACATGTCAACTATCCAATCTTCGTCTAATGCCAGTTGACTCTCTGAGTTATCCCGCGCTGTATCATAGAAATCGCACTTTCCCAGTCTGCAAACATAGTGCAGTCCTCGGGACCTTTTTTTCACGTCCAGCGACTTGCATCTTACTTGAAACTCCGCAGTGGCATTTGCAAAGTTTTACCCGAGGACCGAAGTCCAATCAGGCCAAAGGCACAGTGGCAGAAGAAGGTTGACAAAAGGCCAGGGACTACATCATGTGGTCCCTAGCACAAAGACCAAGGGAAGGGGTACTATGTCGCCATGCTGGAGGTAGGAGCCAATAGACCAGATGGGTCTATGGATCGCGGTCCATGGACCTGGTAGGCCCAAAGACGGCCAACTTGTGGCCATGCTGGCCTGTGGACGGCAGAGGCCATTGAATCGATTTCTGTGGTCCTGTGGCGACCAAGGACCCACGGTCAAAGGCCCCTAGGATTTCCCCGCATTTTGATCACGCACGACGCTTGGTCTTTCTCTCTCGTTCTCGTTCGCTGTCGGCATCCTGTGACACAGACGCCACCATCTCTTCGTCGACGTTCAGCTCCCCGCCAAACACCATGAAGACGGTGTTGGTCCATCTTCGATGGCCGCGTCAAAGTTTCTGACTTGTCCCTTGCCGCCGCACATCCGCCACGCGGAGAAGCCTCGGGGTTGTTTTGAGTGCGGAATCACCCACTCTTCCCTTCTGTAGAGATGCCCGCGATGGTTTTGCATGGCCCAACTCGCCTGCGACTATATGGAGAACAGAACACAAGAGGCGCATGGTCAAATGATCTGAGGCGCGTTATGGAATTTGGCTTTGAATGGGACCGGGCTTGGAACTCTCGGAGAAGAGTAGTGGAGAATCGTGAGGTGCAAATATAGCTCGCACTTCAGGAGTGGCACGGATTTCCAAAACTGCCCTGGGTCCCGCAATGGGTCCGTTCTTGGGGCGCGAGCCGATTGTTACCTGCGGTCCTTTTTGGAAAAGTGGCCCTGGGGACACCGCCCCTGGGGACACTACTCTCCCTGGGGACACTGCTCTCCCTGGGGACACTACTCCCTGGGGATACTGCTCTCCCTGGGGACACCGCTCTCCCTGGGGACGCTGCTCTCCCTGGGGACACCGCTCTCCACCACGCAGCACTGAATATCCTCACCGGCAGCCAGTTCCAGAACGAAGACGACAACAGCACCTCAGCATGGACCCCACCGATACGCGGAGACTCCCCCACCAGCCCCCTAACACGCCTCTACAACAGCCTCGTGATGAAACTGGGAGAAGGAGCGGTCAGTTATCTGGAGTCGCGGATCCCATTCCCGGTAAAGCCGTGGTGGAGAGCGCCCACGATCACTATCACGGAAGGACGAGAAGCGGCGGAACGACTGCACACACACATTATCAGCGGAGCCGACCCACCACTGGCAGTCTACACCGACGGTAGCGGCATACACGGGAAAGTGGGGGCTGCTGCATTAGCGCCGTCGATCCACACCCAAGAACTCGCTTATCTCGGCAAGGAAACGTCTACCACCGTCTATGCAGCCGAGCTTCTTGGCATTCACATGGGCCTAAACCTAATCCTAGCGTCGGACCGACGCAGAGCAGCAATCTTCACGGACAACCAGGCAGCCCTAAAGGCTCTCCAAAACCCCAGAAGATCATCCGGTCAATCCATACTTCGGAGGATCATAGATGCTCTAGACAGGGTCCGCGCCCAGGGCCTTCAGGTGGAATTCTACTGGATCCCGGCGCACCAAGGAATCGAAGGTAATGAATTGGCGGATAATCTCGCAAAGGAAGCGACGGGCTGCAGACAACAACGAGGCAGAAGAGGGAGGATGATCACAGTGGACACTGACGATACCGCAGCTACACCTGACTTCCTAAGACACCTGATATCCGCAGCCAAGTCGGAACTTCACCGCCAGACCCAGGTACAGTGGGAGCGGGACTGGGAGAACGAGTCATCGGGGCGAGCCACCTACGTGCTCACACCCGCACCAAGCCCTACGGTCCTCCATCTACACCACTCCTTACACAAGGCCCTCAGTTCCACCATCGTACAGATGCGCACCGGCAAGATTGGACTACGACAATTCCTATATGAAAGAAAGGTGCCAGAGATCACTGACACCCTATGCGAATGCGGTGGCGGAAATCAAACAGTACGGCACGTCTTATTAGCGTGCCCTAGGTTTAACAACCTCAGAGCGGAAACATGGGAAAACGGGGAAGGAAGAAGGGATAGGTTCGATCTCAAGGAGATCCTGACCACGCCTAAGCTAGCTAAGAAGGCTGCAAGATTTATGATCTTAACTAGACTCCTCGGGCAATATGGAGCAATTACGGAGGACAAAATACGATAAGGCATGCACTGAGTTCTTTCGGTTTATAGGACAAACAGGAGTCAGGGGGACCCACTGGAGGACCTTGGCTACCATCTAGACTGTATTATATGATGTATATTAGCTATAGATACCCATCGTCTGCATAGCTGCGGAAAGCGGCTGGGCCGGACGTTAAATTGAATAGAAGAAGAAGAAGAAGATACTGCTCTCCCTGGGGACACCGCTCTCCCTGGGGACGCTACTCTCCCTGGGGACACCGCTCTCAACAACCACACACTGCTCATATCTAATTTTTGAAATTTCACCACAACCGCGCGCGTAATTAAGCTTAAACTGACGTCATCTTATTGGCCTGGTTTTCGGCTACGGCCCGATACCCGGAGCCATGGCTAATAAGGCCAAGTGGCCTCAGTTGGGCGTGCAGCCGCAAAACCTGCATGAGCACGCGACGCAACTCATAGCAGAGGCAACAGCATTGCTAACCCTAGAAAAAGGACAACGCCAAAAACTACCAGATCAATCATTAGAATCCTTTCTGAACAGCGTACAGGCTTATGCCAAAAAATCCAGGGCCGCACCATCCTCCCACGAGATCCTCGATAAGTTGAATCAGATCCACCACATCGCGAAGACCACCATCTCAGACGACCTCACCCTCATCAAGAACGCGGTCAACCATGCAGCAACGCACCCGACAGCCAGAAACCCAACCTGGGCCGACAGAGTCAGGTCTGGCGGCACGCCCCCCCAGCCCAGAACGCCTCCACCCGCACAAACGAACAGCAAGGAGAGGGAGATAATAGTCAAACTACACAACCCCGAGGCGGCCGCACTGCTGCGAGATAAGACACCGGGAGAGCTACGCGAAAGAGTCAACAATGCACTGAAGGAGCGAACACGCAGCACGGAGCGACCGATTCAGGTGGTAGCCGCCAAACAACTGAAGAGCGGAGACGTGTCCATTCACACGGTGAACATCGAAGACGCCAACAAACTGCGAGAAGAACAACAGTGGACACAGGCCCTGGGCAGAGAGGCCAAGGCCCTCCAACCCACATACGGGGTCCTGGTTCACTCAGTTTGTACGGATAAGGAGAACATAGACCCCAGCAACCAGTCACGATCCATCGAGAAGATCCAAACAGAGAATGCAACTTTACACCCTGGAGCAACGATCACCTACGTAGGATGGCTCACGAGGACGGGAGCAAAGAAACCGACTTCGTCACTGGTGTTGGAATTCACCACCAAGGAACATGCAGACCGAGCGATCAGAGAGGGATTGGTCCTGGATGCCTGCTACCATCACTGTGAACTCTACGACAGAAGCTGCAAGCTGAAGCAATGCTACAAGTGTCAGAAATACGGCCACATTGGAACTCAGTGCAACGTCAATGAAACATGCGGATACTGTGCAGAACCCCACAACACGAGGGACTGCCGAAAGAGAGAAGAAGATCCAAACTCTACACCTAAGTGCGCACTCTGCAAAGGGCCACACGCAGCGTGGAGCAACAACTGCCTCACCCGCCAAGCAGAGATAGCGAAGGTTGAACAAGCAAGGAGAAATCGACCTTCGTACTACATCAGACCCGACGCCACAAGCAAGGTGGCACAGCCTGCCACCCGCCCTACCATACCCCTGTTCACCGGCGGTACCCTACGACAAACCCTGGACCAACGCAAACGTCCCGCGGAAGCCCAGCCGACTGAACGTACCACCGCACGACCGAGACGGAACCCGCAATCGACCACATTTCACAACTTCACGCAGGAAGATTCCGAAGTCTTTGTGCTGAACAAAATGAGCCTGCACAGAGCGATGGAGGACCGGGAAAGAGAAATGAGAATTGAAAACGAGGAATACACACCGAACAGAGATTCGCCGATAATGACTCGCTCCAGAACCGCATCCCAACAACCCCCTGTAGACCCAGCCCTCATAGACCCCGCACTGACCGACCTCGAAATGACGCAGAACGATGAGTAGTACAAGCAGCCTATCCATACTGCAGTACAACGTCAGGAAGTCCAAGAACAAGGTCATGGCCAGCCTGCTGAGGGATGAGAGGATCAAGGAGTTCGACGTGATTGCAATACAAGAACCGTGGCGGAACTATTTCACCAACACAACCCACTACCCACGACCTCAATCCTTCGATCTGGTGTACTTGGACGACCCAGGCACCAGGACGTGCATGTTTATAAACAGAAGAATACCGCGCGGCAGATGGACCGCAACTACCCCCTCTCCTGACTTCTGCACTGTCTCCATCCAGTGCACCGAGGCGCCCGAGGACACAATCCATATCCACAACCTATACAACCCGGAGACCAGCACAGGGAACAGCACCATCCCCCTCCTGCGCACAACGGTAACCGAAGCCGACAGTGAGAAACAGATCGTGGTTGGGGACTTCAACCTCCATCACCCACTCTGGGGAGGTACACGTAGCGACCAGGACGCTGAGGCGGAGGAGCTGGTCTCGCTCATGGCCGACCAGCAACTGGAACTCCTGATCCCTCCGGGGACGGCCACGTACGATGAACACGATAGACAAACCACGATCGATCTTGCTCTCGGTACACCGTGGATCCACGAGAGGAAAGCCTACTGCGGGCTCAGGGAAGATCTCGACCACCAATCGGACCATCAACCAATTGCTGTAACAATCATGACGGCGGTTGAGACATGCGACCCACCTGACCAATGGCAATGGCAACGGACGAACACAGAGACGCTGGAACTAGAACTCAAGAGGAATCTACCCTACCCGACCGTCTTGGACTCGGAGGCGTCGGTGGACCACCGAGTACAAGGACTAGTTCACGCTATAACAAGAGCCATCGATGCCTCCACGCCGAAGGCCAAACCAAGTGACCGCTCGATCCCCGGGTGGACACAGGAGTGCAAGGAAGCACAGAGGACAGCGAGACGCCTTCGAAGACGATACCAGAGGACGCGCCTCGAGAGCGACTGGGAGGCGTACTGCCAAGCCAGGAACTACAAAGCGAGACTCATCAAAAAGACACTCCGCGACGCTTACCGAGCAAGGGTCAGGGAGGTGAGCGACTCGCCACACGGGCTTTGGAGGCTGGCGAGATGGGCCCGCAGACGAGGGACAAGACAGGCGTTCACACCACCACTGCGCCGAAGCGACAACAGCCTGGAGCACAACCACCAAGCCAAGGCAAACCTGTTCAAAGAGACGTTCTTCCCACCCCAACCTAATGTGGATTTGTCCGACACTACAAACCAAAGGTACAGCGACCAACTTACCTTTCCCCCTATCACAGAACAGGAGATAACTCGAGCAATCGGATCCATGGCCGCCAAGAAAGCACCGGGACAGGACGGCATCCCGGCACACATACTTCAACGACTGCTCCCCTACCTGACACCCCATCTACTACAGATCTACAACGCATCCCTGGACCTACAATACTGCCCAGCGCACTTCAGACAAGCCAAGACGGTGGTGCTACCCAAGCCCAACAAGAAAGACCTGTCAGAGGTGAAATCGTACCGCCCGATAGCCTTGCTGAACACCCTTGGTAAAGCCTTGGAGTCCATCCTGGCAACAAGGATCTCTCAGGCGGTCGAAGAACACCAGCTCCTCCCACGCACGCACTTAGGGGGAAGAAAGGGAATGTCGACGGAACACGCGCTTCATGGTCTGATGGAGCTGATCTATCAGTCCTGGGACAACGATCAGGTAGCCAGTCTCCTCCTGCTGGATGTAACAGGCGCCTTCGACCATGTCTCTCACCCCAGGCTTCTGCACAACCTGCGCAAGAGAAGGATGGACGAAAGGATAGTGGGATGGGTAGCGAGCTTTCTACGAAACAGGACAACTATTATACAGCTACGGGAGCACACAACAGAACCTCTCCAAGTGGAGACCGGGATCCCACAGGGTTCCCCGATCTCTCCAGTGCTCTACCTTTTCTACAACGCTGACATCCTGGAAGACGCGCCCCTCCGGGTGACCGGGGCAGCGGCCGGAGGTTGGATCGACGACATCTACTTCTTCACCAGCAGCTGCACCACCGACGAGAACTGTAGAAAGTTAGCAAGAATGCATGGACGAGCGGAGGCATGGTCGGCCACTCACGGATCAAAATTCGACCTCAAAAAATACCAACTCATCCACCTCACGCGAAATCCAAGGAGACACGATGTACAACGGGCTTTGACCATATCAGACCTAACGATTGCTCCGATGAAAGAGGTCCGCTACTTGGGCGTCATGTTGGACCAGCAGCTACGATGGGGCCCTCAGATACAGCATATCGAAAGCAGAACGTCACTGACGTTAAATGCCCTGAGGTCCCTGGCAGGTTCAACGTGGGGATCAGCGCTGGCCACGCTAAGGCTGGCATACCTGGCCATAGTGGTCCCACAGATCACATATGCCTGCTCCGTGTGGCATACACCGCGCGGCGAAGCAGGGCTCACAGAAAAGATGCGCACGACCCTTGACAGGATTCAACGAGAAGGGGCGAGGATCGTAGGAGGCGCATACCGAGCAGCGTCGGGCGCGGCCTTGGATGTCGAGCTCTTCATGACGCCTCTGCGTCTGCAGCTGGAGGAGCGAGCACACCACGCAGCACTGAATATCCTCACCGGCAGCCAGTTCCAGAACGAAGACGACAACAGCACCTCAGCATGGACCCCACCGATACGCGGAGACTCCCCCACCAGCCCCCTAACACGCCTCTACAACAGCCTCGTGATGAAACTGGGAGAAGGAGCGGTCAGTTATCTGGAGTCGCGGATCCCATTCCCGGTAAAGCCGTGGTGGAGAGCGCCCACGATCACTATCACGGAAGGACGAGAAGCGGCGGAACGACTGCACACACACATTATCAGCGGAGCCGACCCACCACTGGCAGTCTACACCGACGGTAGCGGCATACACGGGAAAGTGGGGGCTGCTGCATTAGCGCCGTCGATCCACACCCAAGAACTCGCTTATCTCGGCAAGGAAACGTCTACCACCGTCTATGCAGCCGAGCTTCTTGGCATTCACATGGGCCTAAACCTAATCCTAGCGTCGGACCGACGCAGAGCAGCAATCTTCACGGACAACCAGGCAGCCCTAAAGGCTCTCCAAAACCCCAGAAGATCATCCGGTCAATCCATACTTCGGAGGATCATAGATGCTCTAGACAGGGTCCGCGCCCAGGGCCTTCAGGTGGAATTCTACTGGATCCCGGCGCACCAAGGAATCGAAGGTAATGAATTGGCGGATAATCTCGCAAAGGAAGCGACGGGCTGCAGACAACAACGAGGCAGAAGAGGGAGGATGATCACAGTGGACACTGACGATACCGCAGCTACACCTGACTTCCTAAGACACCTGATATCCGCAGCCAAGTCGGAACTTCACCGCCAGACCCAGGTACAGTGGGAGCGGGACTGGGAGAACGAGTCATCGGGGCGAGCCACCTACGTGCTCACACCCGCACCAAGCCCTACGGTCCTCCATCTACACCACTCCTTACACAAGGCCCTCAGTTCCACCATCGTACAGATGCGCACCGGCAAGATTGGACTACGACAATTCCTATATGAAAGAAAGGTGCCAGAGATCACTGACACCCTATGCGAATGCGGTGGCGGAAATCAAACAGTACGGCACGTCTTATTAGCGTGCCCTAGGTTTAACAACCTCAGAGCGGAAACATGGGAAAACGGGGAAGGAAGAAGGGATAGGTTCGATCTCAAGGAGATCCTGACCACGCCTAAGCTAGCTAAGAAGGCTGCAAGATTTATGATCTTAACTAGACTCCTCGGGCAATATGGAGCAATTACGGAGGACAAAATACGATAAGGCATGCACTGAGTTCTTTCGGTTTATAGGACAAACAGGAGTCAGGGGGACCCACTGGAGGACCTTGGCTACCATCTAGACTGTATTATATGATGTATATTAGCTATAGATACCCATCGTCTGCATAGCTGCGGAAAGCGGCTGGGCCGGACGTTAAATTGAATAGAAGAAGAAGAAGACACCGCTCTCCCTGGGGACGCCGCTCTCCCTGGGGACACTACTCTCCCTGGGGACGCTACTCTCCCTGGGGACACCGCTCTCCCTGGGGACACTACTCTCCCTGGGGACGCTACTCTCCCTGGGGACACCGCTCTCCCTGGGGGCATGATTTCCCTAAGACAGGCGATATACGGCGTCTGCGGCCAACCCCCTGCAGCTGCCACCAGCCGTGGATGGTCCTCTGAGGCGGCTGTGCCTACCGGGTATAAATATGCGTGGTTTCCCCCTCAAGCCCTTCCGTCCCTCCCTCCTCCTTATTATCTCGACTCATCCTACACCACCGCGAGACACCAACCACCGAGAGGCCCTTGCGTACTCGAGGACGACCGAGCGAACATAAAAAGTCCGACCGACAGCGGTGCTCCACCATCTTTCAATCATGGGGGTGGCATGCATCAGAAAGGCGGAGCTTCACCCAATCATGTATGCCAGTCAAAAGGTGCGCCTGGCTTCGCCTCTGTCCCCACGACGGGCTTCATCACACTGTCATCATCAGTTCAGATTCGGAGATGGATGAACATCAGCCTGGATGTGGAACAGCATCCCCAGAAGAAAGACATGTGGACTGAGTACCAGGGTGGGGTCGTTCACTACCGTCCCTAGGTTCACTACCGTCCCTAGGCCACTGCCTTCCCTGGGGCCACTGCTCTCCCTAGGGCCAGATGACAGGTCTACAGCCAACCCCCTGCTGCTGCCACAGGATGCATGGTCTTGTGATCGAGAGGCGGCTGTGCTTTCACAACGGGTATAAATATGCGTGGTTTCCCCCTCAGTTCTTTCTATTCTCCTTCTTCCTTATTATCTCGCTCGCATTTGCTTCTTGCCTACTCTCTCTCGTCCTGACAGAATGACTAGAACCCGCAGACAAGCCAGGGCCGTTGAAAAGGCCAATGCTCTTAACCTGCGGTCCAGAAAAGTCAACCGCGCACACGCATCCCATCATTCCCCTATAGCTCGCTCTCGCCGCCATCATCTTATGCCCACAAGACCACAAACTCACGGAGAGGGTGACAGCCGTATCTCACCCAATCTGGTGGAGGATCAGGATCAACCTCTTGATGACATGATGGAATCAGACATGCGCCAATCTGTTAACGATAAGGGTAAGTGCTTGCAACTTCTCTCACAAACGTATCTAACAGGTGAGCAGATGAGCCAGATCCCGTGTGCAGTTCAGCCCAGGGACAAAGTTTGAGCACCCACGATGCGGTTCCCTGCTCTGATGACAATGCGGATGTTACTATTGCCGACAGTGTAGTTTTGGCGATGGAAAACACATACAACGACAAACTACCACGGCCCCGTTGGCCGTCGATACTGCGACATCCATCATGAAAATGAGTATCTATGTCGCTTTGGCTCTACTTGGGTATCACCGTGGAACTTCGATGATCCGGAAGTGGCGAGCTCCAAAATGGAGGAGCTGTACGACATCAATCAGCAGAACCCGCAGGAACCATGGTCCTCGAGAGTTGGGTGTGATGTTCCTGAGCTGCTGGACCATATTTCCCGTGTGACAGCGAGGGGAACAAAAGAAGGTATGATCGTTTATTTTGCACACTGGAAAGGCCAATGGTTCCGGGAGAAGAACGTCGGGAAAAGAGAGTATGGATCATGGGAGCGAAGCTACAATATTAGTGGCGGTGATAAATATGAGACGAGTCGGATAAATTGAGCATTTTGTCACATTTCTTTCCTTGGTTCCTTCCACAGTTGACGCGTGGAAGGTGGTGGCCTGTATGACGGGTAAATGAAAGCTAGTAATTATAAATTTATTTCACAGCTCTTCTTAGGGTTAACCTGCAGCCAAATCTCCTCGATCGTTCCAGACAGCTTGAGTGACTGCCATCTCAGCAGTAGAAAGGCAGGATGCTTTTGCATACCATGATTCGCGTTTGGCATCGCCGAGGTCAAAGTATCTTCTTCAAGCGGGTTCGTGAGCATCCAGAGAGAGAGAGGTTCGGGCATTCTCTCCCAGGGCAATTGTATCCGAAGTGGAATTTCCAAGTTCTGAAAATGTGTGTGCTGGCTAGGATAGATATAATGAAGAAGAAAAAGTAACGTGAAACGAAGTGAAGAAACCAAACATTGAATAGTAAAAACATGAAGACTTCAAATTGCTACAAACAAATCTAAGCAGCGAACTAACTAGAAATAGAAAGGTTTCGTGAGATTGGGCCATCTCCCTCAATGCTGACGTAATCCGCATGACCTCGTTCGACGACATTTGTTATTCCAGGAGTAATAAGCTGCCAGCAGTTCCAACCCTCCATGCTCCTGCAAATCGTCCAATGTCATCTTGGCATAAATCTCGTAGCCCTCTGGAACCCTCTCTATATTCCGTTGAAGGGATGGAATGGCGACAAACTGATCAGAACCACAAGGCAAGTTGGTGGGACTCATTGGCTCATCGATGATGATTGGGTCTTCTGCGAGGGTGAGTGAGTGAGGTGTGAGAAATGTTTTTCACGGAGCAGGTGCTGAGCCTTACCAGCAGAACCTGAGTACTTCCACGGCTTTCTTTGTGTGCCATATCCGCGTGTTTCTTGTAAATCTATCCATCCCACTATCTGGTACATCTCATCCCCGTCTCGCTTATACACCAGCTTCAGAATCTTCACCTGAGAAAGGGGCAAGATAATGTATTCCTGCTTATCCAGCGTCTCCCCCAACGCATCACCTTCCCAACAGTCGGACACCAGGGGGGTAACTTGCTCCGATTGGTGGGCTTGGATGTGGCGTTCCTCGCCCGGACGTGGGCTAGCCTCGATGGAATCATCGGAGTAATTCAACGGCTCCTTCGATGTGTTGCCTTCGCGATCGTCTAAGGCCGGGAGAGTTGGCTCTCGTCGATTGGGTGGGTCATCGGCAACGTCGCTCGGGCTTGGCTGAGCCTCCTCGATGGGGTCGTCAGAGAAATCCGACAGTTGGAGTGACGGTGGGGAAACATCATCTGGAGTGGAGTCGAACAGGATCCATTAGTCCCAGTTAATGTCAGTGAGACCGGAGACGGTGGATGGCAGGGCAGAAAAATCGGCAAACATCTCACTTGCTGCATTCTTAGAGAGGTCACCGGACGCAGAGAAGAGGGGCACGGGCACGGGCATGGGCATTGCAAGGAGGTGCTGGGGCTCTTCGTCTGACCAAGGATCAGGAGTGTACGCTTCCAGGAGGCGCACTGTGTGCAGCTGAGGCGAGGGAGAACCATCAGCAGGTCCAGGGGAGGTGATATTGTACGTGAAGGTAGCCATGTTGCGAGACGAGATGATGGGATGCTTTTCTCCCCTCGATCTCGATCCAGGAGGCCCTTGACGTCTTTATATATGTCCCACGTTCAACCCCCGCCTGCGAACAAAAATAGGTCGAGGCTAATCGAGGAGGGTAGGAAAAATAGTAGCGGAGATGCGTCTTGTGTGGATCGCCAATCATCCACACTGAAGAAGCCGCCGAACCGGGGAATGTTGCATTGATGGGTGGACCAACGCAGAAGTGCTCCTGGCCACCACCCCCATGCCAACATGGGCTCTCGTCGAGTGAATATCAGCCAGTCAACCTATTCAGCCCCCCCTTTTCCCCCTGGCCATGCGCCAGGAAGTCGAATCGACAAACCGCTAAACCCGGGGACAAGGAGCACGGGGGTGGCATGCCTGAGGACGGCCGAACTTCACCCAACCATGTGTGCCAGTCAAAAAGTGCGCCTGGCTTCGCCTCTGTGCTCGAGCTCATGGATGTCTCAACTCTAAGCGAAAACACCAACATGAACCAATATCCGAGGCGCAACCTGCATCGAGGCTTATAATTTTGTGATACACACCCCCACGAGTGCGGTTTGGCAATCCAATAGGGGCTTTATACGCGAAAGCAAATTGAAGGAAAATGCAAAATGCAGCTCATCCTCTGGCCCTATCATTCATTCCGGTTTCTCCAAAGGGCGCAGCAAGGTGGGCGTCAGATCAAGCAAACTTGGGCTCTCATCCAGCCAACATCGACCAGTTGAAAGGGATTCCCCCGCATTGAATCAGCACTCATACCAGTCAAACCTTTCCCCAACCCTCCTGATACGCCAGGAAGTTCAACCGGCAAACTGTTCGATCCTCTCCTCCAGTCGATAAGGCGAGGGACATGGGGCTGGCATGTAATGGAAACATCTGCGCCTGAACCAGTGCAGAAGCATCCCTGACTTCACCCCTGTGCTCTTTTTGCGAGAGGGCGTAGCGAGATGGGTATCGGGTCAGCCCGCCCTGGCGTTCCCTCCAGGAAGTAAGGACCAGGTGGAAGGGATTGCTGACAGACAGTGCAGCCAGTCCAACCAACATGAGGTTGAGGTATAAAGGGCTATAAAAGGCTCTTCCCCTCTCATTTGAATTCAGCCTTCGCCCTTCTCCAAATCTTTTACCTGCTTCAAATAGTCGCCCGTCTTGCTTCAAATATTCACTTCCTCCTCTGCATCTCTGCACATCCTCAGCATGGATAGACAAGGAACCGAGGGCCCTCCACCACTACCCAGTCAACTTTTGTCGTCCGGTGCGCAGCAATCCACTCTTCCAGCTTATTGCGCGGTGTTGGGTGACTTTCTCGAGAAGACGCCCTTCCAAACCTATGCCTCAGGTAAGGGTTTAATGACACCCTATCTCTGTCCTTCGACCTCGATTTCTCATCTAAGACTGCAGCTCCCCTTAACGTCCCGCCCGAGCGGCTGTCTGTTGACAGGGCCTCAAATAACCGGCCTCAGCCTCCTGGTGGTATCGAACCCGACGGCAGAGACAATATCTCGGATTCTGGGGCTACGACAGAACCGTTGGCCCATGATGAATTGAAGAATCTTCCCTATTGGTATGAGGCGCAGCAGGTTGAAAAGAGCCTTAAGATTTGTCATGTTGGAGATAAAGTATGGCGAAATAATAAATATGTTCACCGTGTGCTTTATGTGGTGGAAACATATCTCCCAGACAACTGCCTCCCTGAAAATGCGAGGCTCCGGCTGCGGAAGCAGGAGGAGAAACAAAAGAGGAGGGAGAAGGAGATGCAGCGAAAGGAACGTCTGAGCACATTACGCCCTCGACCATCAACACGCAAGTGATGGAAGATGGGATCTCAAACCACTCATTTCTTTATTTGATATTATAATACACAGTCATTTATTCATGTGCCTTCTCTTGCATTGTCGACCTGTTGCCATGTCGCCCATCTGCCGGGAACGCCCTAATATGGTTCACCCCCGGGAGTCAGTGAAGTGTGGCCCACGACCAAAACTATACTTCCCCTATGGCAGCTAGGGAATTTGCAAGAATGCCGATGAAGGCGAACCCTCAGGGAGTGTCACAATCTTGCATGAAAAGGCAGTAATGATGGAATCCCATATGGTGTCGGCATCCCTGGGGAAGTAAGCTCCTTGAGGAGCGCCGGAATTCTGAGTGAAAAGGCAACAAAAACTGAAATCCCATGCGGTGTCAGCATCCCTAGGGAAGTAAGCCCCTTGGGGGAGTGAGCTCCTTGGGGAGTGTCAGAATTTTGAGTGAACAGGCAACAAAGATAGAATCCCATGCGGTGTCAGCATCCCTGAGGAGGTGAGCTCCTTGAGGAAGTGAGTCCCATGTGGAGTCGGAATCCTTGGGGAAGTGAGCCCTTTGGGGAAGTAAGCTCCTTGAGGAGTGCCGGAATTCTGAGTGAAAAGGCAACAAAAATAGAATCCCATGTGGTGTCAACATCCTTAGGGAATGCCACAGTTTTGAACTATTAGCCACCATAGTAAAATCCCTTGAGGAGGGCCATAATCTCAGTGAAAAAGGCCACAAAATTAAAAGTACATAGGGAGCCAACACCCATCAGGGGATGACACGATGCTGAGTGGAAAGGCCACAGAAACAATGCCCATGGGGAAAGTCATATTTTTTAAGTGAAAGGCCACTGATATTGACAATCCTTGAGGTGAAAGACCAGAATACTTGAAATCTTATTGGTTCTTGAAAGAAGTCATGATTTCAGGGTTCAGCAAGCGCTATGACTTTGAGAGTGTAAATTTATAATGTAGATTCGGCGGCTCCATCATGACACATACTTGTGAAAGCAGCCAATAAAACTTCGACTAGGTATACTTTCCAAAAAGAGCTTAGTGATGATTTCAAATTAACCCTAATTTACAACATTCTATTCTTGCTTCTCCTCAAGTTTCTCTTGCTTTCCCTTCTTCCCTGCTCTAGACTTCTGATATTTCATGTAGTTCTCGCACGTTGTTCGAGATGGAGGTGGATAATGCTTCTCCTGTTTCTGTAAGAGCTACGTCTTTCCAGGGCTGTACGCATGGCACTTACTATATCTCTGTCTGGTGGTGGAAAGTGGCTGTTCGAAGCATCAGACTTGTTAAAATTAATTGTAAAGTACCGATTGTCTTCATGGATGAGGAGGTAGACGCCTTTGCAGCGACAGTCATTGAAATAGCTACGCAGCATACGCTGCAGCGTGCCTTTCCGTCGATAACGCATCTGCACGAGGCTACTGTGCACAGTCCATGGCTTCTTGACACGCTTTGAGTCTGATGTTTGCATGGTGTAGCATTTAATTCCAGTGTAGATGAAGGATCTGGGACTTGATTATTGTCACTTGATATTATGGGGAGAGGTCTCAATTTATAGCTACGAGCGAGTGTTGTGCTTCATTGAGCCAAAAGTCGCTTTTTAAAGGTGTACTTCTGTCGGATGTGACTAGTCGCTTTGTCGCGGCGCTTGCATGCTTGGGCCACGATCTGCGATCTGAAACTGTGGCACGCCATTTTGATTCGCGATTGAACTCGGCCACGCGATCCGAATACATGGCCATGATTTGCAATCCGAAACCGTGGCCCTCACCATTTTGACTCAATTTTCCACTCGGCCACGCGATCCGATCATTTATGCTAAAAGAGAATACGAAAGTGTCCTATTCGAAATCACACCGTGCAGAAAATGGAATTCATTAATCTGAATGAAAGGATGGAAGTACACAAATGTAGAAATCGAAATTGCAGGAATGCAAAAATTGAAACATGCACTTCCATACGCCAAGAAACGGCTAAGCCTTGCAGCTTGTTGGATGTGGAGGTGTCGTATTGATCGTTAACCAGGTACGATGAGATGCATAGCGCTAGTCCGTAATAGGAATCGAGAGCCCAAACGGGGACCTCAGCGTTAGCCGCTAAGAAGCGGCGCAGCCGGTTCAATATGGGAAGACCTGCTGAGAATAACGCCAGCGCGATTCTGTTTATTCTCACAAAACTTAAAGTATGTAAGACCCAGTGCAAAGATATCGTTCTAGGTCTGTAAATTTAGAAAAGTTCTCAGGGCAAATGCAGGAATTGTGCTGGAGCAGAAATTGTGCTGGGGCAGTCTTTTTCTGTGCTCTACTACTTCTGTGCTGGGACTACTTCTGTGCTGGGACTACTTCTGTGCTGGGACTACTTCTGTGCTGGGACTACTTCTGATTGATTGATTGATTGATTGATTGATTGATTCATAGACTGTCCCAGCCGCCCTCAGGCAGCTATGCAGCGCACTACTATACATACAGGAGTTTCTGCTCTTCCCCTTGGAAATTCAGCTCTTCTTGCAAGAAGCATCCTGCTGTGACACAAGTTATTCTTGCATGAATTGCTTTCTTTCCACGCTAGAGCTTCCTCTATTCATAGTCTTCCTATCTGTTCTGTATCTCTGCCTTGTTAGGTCTTTCCTGACCCTCCTCAACTTCTGTCTACTGGTTTTACACTCGCATGCTAGTTATATTGGAGTACTGTGGACGGGACCGCCTGGAATTGACCCAGGAGGCCTGTCCTGATCATCATCTTTGCTGCTTGTACTGCCATTGACGAGCTACAGAGAATGCGTTTGATGTCCACGCATGGAGACTTGCCTGCCCACATTCGATGTCGTTCTTCTGCCCAGTTCCGGCATTCCAGGAGGATGTGTCGCACAGTCTGCGGTCCGTAGCCGCACTGACATTTGTCGGTGTCGGCCTTATTGATGTCGTGAAGATACGCACGGAGGCCGATCTTGCCTGTACGCATCTGTGTGATCGCGGAGCTAATTGCTCTGTGTGTTCCCATGTGTGTGTTGAGAGTCACTTTTCCCGGTCGAGCCCCAAGTCGGAAGAGATCTCTACCGTGCTTTCCTTTCTCCCATGATGTTTCCCATTCGCCTTTCATCGCCTGGCGGATGGTGGATTTCGTGGTTGCCAGCAGCGTCCGTATCAGATCCGGTTCGGGTTGTTCAGTGTTCAAGGCAGGGTCGGCGGCCCGCTTTGCCAGTCTGTCTGCTTCTTCGTTTCCCGGTACTCCGACGTGTGCTGGAATCCAGTGAAATTGCACCTCCCATCCAAGGTCTCGCAGCCTATCGAGTACTTGTATAGCTTCGACGAGGATATACTGGCCCGACGAATTCTTGGGATTCCGGACTGCTTGGACGGCAGCTTGGTTGTCGGTAAAGATGGCGCATTTTCCGGGGGCAGTGCCAGTTGCATGGATGTCAATTACCATCTGGAGAGCTAACACCAGGCCCTTGAGTTCCGCCGAGTACACCGTGGAGGTGCTGGATACGCCCATGTATTGAGTCCGTTTCATGCAGATGCCGTTGTCCTGGAGTGAGGGCGCCACTGCTGCTGCCCCAACGTGACCGTTGATGCTACTCCCGTCTGTGTAGATGCGCATCGTCGTCGGTTCCATGGTGTCGTGTTCCTTGATCGCGTCATTGGCCGAATCCTTTATGCAGATGAGAGGTGGGGTCCACCACGGTGGTACAACATGCGGTTGGCGTTTCTCGAGCTGGTTGAGTTTTACGTTGTACTTGTGCTCCAGGATGCCCGAGAAACGGTCGAGGGGGCTCAGCGCATCGCGCTTTCGGTTGGTTCTTGTATTGCTTTCACTCGATGTCGCCATGTCATTGTGTAACGGGGAGCTTCGTATGCGCATAGTGGCTTCCAGCGCTGTTTGCTCGAGTTGCTGTTGTATCGGAAGCAGGTGTGCCTCTACGTCCACGGCTGGCCCGGCGGTTGTTCGGAATGCTCCCGTGATTATTTGGGCTGCACGTCTCTGGATCCTCTTGATGGCGTTTATCATGGCACTGCCTCGGCTCGTGTAGCCATTACCGGGGATATGCCATGCGGAGCAGCCATACAGCATCTGAGGTATGATCATTGCTCTGTACACCTGCCGGAGATTAATAGCTCCTGTTCCCCATGTTGAGGTTGCCAGGGCTGATAATGCTGAGAGTCGTTTCGTGGCCCCTGCTTCTACCTTCTCGCGGTGGTAGTCCCATCGGAGTTTGGTATCCATGTGGACGCCCAGGTAGCGGCATGATGGGGAGGCCTCGACTGTGGCGTGCGGTAGGCGCAAGGCGTGCGTACTGTTTGCCTTTGGGTCTCTTGTGAAGTGGACAAGTTCGTACTTTGCTGGCGCAAACTGGGAGCCATGCCTTCGCGCCCATTGTTCGGCGTTTCGGTGGATTTTCTTAAGGGTTTTGCAGTTGCGCTGTGCGGTCGGGCCTACAGCCAGGATTGACACGTCGTCAATGTATCCAACCGCCTCTGTCTCCTCTGTCTTGCATACTTCAATGAGGTCAGCATTGTAGAAAAGATACAGAATCGGCGAGATGGGCGATCCTTGTGGAATTCCAGTTTGAATCGGGGCCGACGGTGCAGTGTACTCCTGTAGCTTGAGAGTGGTAGATCGGTTGCTTAGAAATGACTCTATCCACCCTATGATCCTCTCACTAACTCGGCGTTTCCGGAGGTTATGTAGAAGTCGTTGTTGAGAGACGTTGTCGTATGCTCCTGACACGTCGAGTAGGAGTAGGGAGGCCACCTTGCCTTCGGACCATGCCTGGTGTATTTGTTGGAGGAGGAAGTGCATGGCATGCTCAGTCGAGGCCAATTTCCGGCCCCCCGTGTGGCGGCTGGGGAGGAGTCGGTAGACGTCGGCGATATATGCAAGTCGGTTGGCAATGATGGCTTCCAGGGCCTTGCCCAACGTGCTGAGGAGAGTGATTGGCCGGTACGCTTTGGGTTGCGTGTAGTCGTCTTTCCCTGGCTTTCGGAGGGCTACCGTGATGGTATCTTTGAAATGAGTGGGACAGTAGCCCTGTTCAAGACACGCATTGAAGAGTTTGTGAAGGCTGGGAAGGAGGATATCAAGCGTCTGGTGCAGGATTCCGTTGGTGATGCCGTCGGCTCCGGGGGCCTTGTTCGGGGAGGCTCTGCGCACTGCCTTCTCGATCTCTGCCACGGTGATGTCCGGGCATTCGATGGGTGGGGGGTATTCGTAACCCCCAATGTCTGACAGATCTGCCTGGAGTGGTGGTGGGAAGAATGTTTGGCGGAGCACTTCTGCCTTCTCCTCTGGTCGGTGAGCAGACCCTCCGTCTAGTTTCACCAGAGCCGGAGTACATGCGGGTGTTATGTCGTGTCTGTTTTTGGCCCATTTAACCAGGTTCCAAAGACCCGACTGCGATGCGGATGCTTCTTCGACTCGTTGCCGGTGAGTGTTGCGGAGGATTTTTTGGATATGTCGGCCTTTCCTGTTTCGCGCTTCCCGGTAGGCCTCGTAGTCCTCGTCTTGTCTTGATCGTTGCCATCTCTGGCGGAGCTGTTGGACCTCGGTGCATATGTCCTTGCACTCCTGGTCGAACCCCGCAATTGATCGAGGGGAAGGCTTTGACCATGGAGTAGATGCGGCGATGCCCGCCTCCAGTGCCCTAATGATGGTGGAGACGAATTTGTCGATACCATCTTTGTTTTTAAGTTCTGTGGTGTCACCCGGTCGAGGTAGGCGTGTCTCAACGGTTTTCCGCAGTAATTCCAGGTTTGTCTTTGTCCATAGACGCTTTCTTGTTGGGTTTACTGGTTGCCAGTTCCAGTCGAACACTAGAGCAATTGGGAGGTGATCCGAATCACAGTCCACTTCCCTATCAACCTTGCAGTGGGTCACACGGTCTGCTAAATCTTCCGAGGCAAATGTTAGGTCAATCGTAGACTCTCCATCCTTCCATCGGTGGGTTGGGGTTCCGGGCTCTGTGAGAAGCTGCAGCTGAAATTCTTCGATGACTGTAAGAAGGCCTTGGGCACTTGGTCCCCTACCCCCGTGCCGGTGTGTTGAGGACCAGAGAGGGTGGTGCAGGTTAAAGTCCCCAAGTACGATGATATCCTCAGGTGAGTTTAGTGCTCTGATCGCTTCTGCCATCGTGGAAAGCGTGTCGGTTCCCACTTCATTGTAGACATTGAAAACGGAGACCTTTCTGCCAGAATGGGGATTGAGAATCTGCAGGGAGATGATGTCCTTAGAGATGTATGAGACACTCCAGGTACCAGGGTTGATTCGTTTGCTGATGTATAGGCATACCCTCGTTGCGGCATTGGCGAGATATGTTAGTTGGAATTGTGCCTTGAGGGGGTGATATGATGTTTCGATGAAGGGGTTTCGCCACGGTTCCTGAATTGCCAGGATGTCGTAGTCGAGGATTTTTCGGTTTTGGAACAGGCTGGCGAGGACGACGTCTCTCGACTTCCACACGTTGTACTGTAAGATGCGTAGTTCCTGGTGTTCTAGCATAGGAGAGGCGTTGCTTCGGGGCAGTTTGTAGGGGATCGGCTTCGGGATCGGCTCCGGGTCACCCGGTTCCTCAGCTGACGGAATGGCCGCTCTACGCGGGGCCTCTGCGTCCATCCCGGGGTGAAGGCGCTATATTTTCCCCGCTCGAGGCGCACTGTCAGGCTTCGAGACGAGTACTCCTTTCTTTTCAAATGCTTGCGTAATTCAGCTGCCAGCGGGAAGTCTCTGCCGCAGTACATGCATATCTTCATGCAGTGGGCGATCGTCAGCTCCGCGTCTTGTGCTGGCCAGCTGCTGTAGATTTCCTGGTGCTCTGGACATTTGCACGCCTTGTAGATGTGTCCTTGAGCCGTGCGAGTGTTCGTTGCCATGGATGTCGGAACAGTATCCACCGTTCCAGGGTCGTGTATCCAGTCCTCGGCAACGTTGTTTGCTAAACTGGCCAGCCATTCATCCGCCTCAGTTATGTTGAATTCTCCGTGTATAGTTTCCAGGGGGTATATTGGTGCTGCTTCGGCTGGTATGGTCTCGACAGTTTCCATGTTTGGGTTGACACCTACCGCCGGACCGGTCTCCTGGGGTTCTTCTGTCGCCAGTAACTGTGGGTAGATCTCCGGTTGCTGTGGTTCATGTTGTGGTGCTGGTGTTGCACGATCTTCTTGCGCCTGTGGAGGCTCTTGGGTGGTGTCTGTATGGTCCGGGAGTGCTTCTCTAGGGCTCACTATTGTTATAATTTCGTTGGGGGTGGGGCTGCGTGCGTGGCGTGGTCTCTTCCGCGAGTTGTTGTTCTCAAGGGGTTCGTCTTTGGGGGGCACCTGCCAGTAGCTGTTTCGAACCTGCTTTGCTTGCTCAACTCTTCCCAATTCTTTCCTCCTTGCTGGGCAGGCATTGCTCCATGCCGTGTGGGCACCTTTGCAGACTGGGCAACTGGGAGTGAAGCCTTCCACTCCCTTCTGCGTGCAGTTCCTGGTCTCGTGTAGCTCGGCGCAATAGCCACATGTTTGGGCTGCATCGCATTGAGTGCCGATGTGGCCGTAATTGTAGCACCGGAAGCATTGCTTGACTCTGCAGGCGCGATCATAGAGTTGACATGTATGTATCTGTCCGTCCCACGCCATCCCTGCGTAGATGATGGCGTTGGCCATTTCTGGGTCCGTGAACTCCACCACGATTGAGGATGCGCGTTTGAGAGGTGATTCTCGGGTTAGCCATCCCACATATGAGATCTCCGCCTTGGGGATGACTGTGTAGTTGTCTGCGAGTATTTGCTGGATGGTCGCTTTCTGGTCCTTGATGTTGATAGTGCTTGTAGAAATGCCGTGGGTGATGACTCCGTAGGTAGGCACGATGAGTTCCGCATGTTCCCCAAGTCCGCTTACCCATTCTCTGTTCTGTTTGAGCTTAACGGCCTCTGCCGTAGAAGAGGTGAAGATCTGTATATCGCCGCTTATGAGTTGATGGGCGGCGACCACCGCCACTGATTTGGTAACCACGTGATTCTTGATCGAGGTCTCGACTTGCTGTCTAATCTTGATTGCGGGAAGCGTCCGAAAACGCTGGGCGATTCCATGATCCTTGAGTCTGACTGTTACTGCTCGGTCCTTATATGCTGTGACTGTTGGCTGTGTCTTAGTGGTACGCGCGCTTTGGGGAACTGGTGGCGGTAAGGCCCCCTCGCGCCCAACCTACACAGGTGGCTCTGCAAAATTATCCAACTCCTATCAGTACCCAGTTAGCCTAGGTTTTTGCTGGACGAGATTTGGCACCCAGCACGTCAAAGGGCCCTTCGCACCCAACCTAGTTCGGTGTGACAGCAACATGGAGCTACCACCCTCCCGCCGAGCACCAATATCCAGTCTAGCCACCATACTGGTTAGTCGCTTACAATCCATCGCCAATGAGATTGATCCAATGATTGAGACGCTCAGACATGGAAAACTGCAACCCACTCAAGAAGAGTACAAGGCCCTGGAAGCTGCAAGTCTAAAACTTGCTAAAAGTGCAACAAACTTTTCCGAAGAGGTGCAAGCGTTAGGAAAGAGACGGACGGAAACCGTGTATATGGAAGGACGGAAGCTGCTGTCCACGGCAGAATCTACCCGACACGGCCTCATTACCAGTAGCAGGTTGAAAAATCGAGCGACATTCATCAGAAATATCCAACTGCTTTTCGGCGGCCCTAAGGAATCGAAACTTGATTCTGCCGCCATCAAGGCAAGAAAAAGGCTGACTCGTGAGCGCTGCGAGCAAATCCGTAGCCTAGGAACAGATGGGATGACTTTATGGGCAGCTGCATTTGCCCCTAGTCAGTGGGAAGCAAACTTGTTGCCTAAGCCCACCTTCGAGTATGTTCTCGAATTCCTCGAGTTGCAAGGAACACAGCTATGGCCCAGCGAAATCTACGACATTTTAACTTCATTGGGGGAGGAAGAACCGCTTCAAAATTCGCCTAAATTCCAAGAGTATTTGAATGGTACTTGTTTTGCACACCCAGTACACATGGCTTAAGCTAAGGCGCGACAGATATGAAGCAGAACGCAGAATATTCTCGAGCGGCATCATCATTGATACGAGATCTTTCGACAAGGCGCCAGGCACAACCACAACATGGTATCACCTAGACTTCCACTTCTTTTTGGAAGTGATGCTAATTACAATCAGCAGTTGACACTCCATCCAACCAACAGGGAAAACTAGCTCCAGAGAGAAAGCGTAGACGCGTCGAAGGTGTTCATCCTTCAGATGACCAGAGTAGAGGGGCAAGCAGGTGTAAGTAGGATTGAAATACAGTACTCCAATAACCATAAAGAAATCCAATAGTTGGACTGACCAGCTACATCAGCGGATCTGGCGGCTGAGATACCAAAACACAGACGTAAGTTAAAAAGAAGTCCATTTCCAATTAACTACACGTATCTAACAATGAATTACAAAATGCAGAGATTGAATATAGATACTCTGAAGCACCGATAACTTCGATCCCGCTCTTAGGTGAAAACTTTTCCGACGCTGTGCAGAGTAGCAAACAATGGGAATGGGAGCGTATCATCGGGGGATTATTAACCACGGATTGTGTCAATGCGTTGGCTCCAAAAGATCGAAATCAAGATATATCTATAACCTTGTCGGTGGGATTTGAGAAAGGAACGCAATTGATTGAGAAGTTCGGGCTTGTGCCTAGGTGAACTTGACTGTAGCTGCGACGACGCGAACCTTGTGGCCAGCAGGAATGTCAGATGTGTTGACCGTATTCTCATCTTCCCATTCCCAGTATGGCGGAGAGTCCATATTTGCATTCGGATCATAGATTTGTATCAATTTTCCCTTTCCAGTTATATTTCTTCGATAATCCACTTTCTCAAACAACTTTGTTTTGATGTACTCCCATTCTCCTTTTAAAGCCGTGGTACCAGCCTGGGAAGCGCAAATTGGTTAGATTCTTTAGGTCTAAGCGTGCGAGCGTCAACGCACCTCTTCCGGCATGCTTTCGCGCTGCCTGCTTCTCGTGATGGTAGGCACGTTGGTCGTGGTAGCACCTGGAATAGTGCTGGACATTCGGACCATATCAGTTTCCTGTAACAATGGGAAGAAGTTGGGTTCTCACTTCTCGAACAGCGTTGTTTTTTCGATCCTTCCGAACTTTATCTAGGAGTCTGTTAGTCACGAATATAATGGACATGTTGCTCGACGCTCACCTTTTTGCTTTGACAGGAGGTTGATAGGAAATTGCGAAAGCCTTGTCCTGAGAATCTGAAGGCCAGTTTTGGCTATAGGCGCTCTGGGTTGGGGAGAACCACGACATGCAAATTTTTAAAAATAAAATAAAAATAAAAGACCAGCAGCGACGCTGAACAACGTTTTCTTGCTGCCGGCTGCGAAGAAGTGCATGTGACACGGAAATTGTTCCCTATCATTCCAAAAAGAAACGGCAGACATCAATATATTTCAGGAGGGGCTCGGGATCCTATTGATTTGATTCTCTTTTCATGACTTGACAGCGATGCGGGGCTGATATGGTCTACTGACAAGTCACATGAGCGGTTCCACCAGTCGGGTTAAAGATATTTTTCAAGGTTCCTTAGCTGTACTGGGGATGGAAGCATAAATATATTTATTTGGGCATCAATACGTCGGGCGGGCGAAATGGCTTTGACATCCAAGAGTGGAAAACGATCGAAGGTGGGCGCTCAGATCCGAAAAATTCCGCGAATAATCAACAGCTTTTCGGGCCTACCTACTCTATTACTCGCGTCATCTGTTTGAAGGGGGCCGGGATAGTGAGTCTGAAGAGAGGGCGTACCGGCTCGTTTGGTGCTGCGAAACCCTGACCAAGTGGGGTTAGGCGTCACAACCGTCCGAATTGAAAAAGCATTCTGGAGGACTTTAGCCCACTACTTAATATGATATTAGCGCCTAGCGGTCTCTCAAAAGAGGGGCTTAGCTGCAGACCCTGGTAATTGGTCCACCTGCCCAGATGGAATCTATCTGGAGGTGGTGGCGATAACACGGTGACATGCAAAAAGAGTCGAAGCTCCCTTCATATATATGCTCCACTGATTTTCTGACCTTTTCGATTTCGGACATGGCGGATGCTCCGGAACCATCAAGGGCCCCATTGACTTCAGTGCGAATCGCGAGTCGCTTATAATGGTGTAGGTGTGGTGTTTCAACTCGAGTAGCATGAGGGCTTGTGACATCGAGGTGCGATTGACATCGTTGAAGAATGCAACCACCTAACAAAGCTCAACTAAATATAGTCGCTTAAAAGGCATCAGATTAATAGGTGAAAAGAAGCTGTCCTAGCACAGAAGTTGTCCTATTTGTAGCCTTGTCATGGGACAACTTCTGCACGGTCGCCTCTCCAACGGCTGAAGAAGTCGCGACAACGCTAATATATGTCCTATGGACGGGAGTCTGCGAATAGCCCTTGTTTTCTTGTGTTCTTGTTTGATCTTACTTCATCGTGGCTATCTTTATGCCTGCCACCAGGTCTGGTTAACCTGAGTCGATATTTTGTACCAATGGATTTTAATCTTCCCCGTTTTCCTCAACAACCTTGTAATTGTCTGGGGCCAGAACCGTATCCGTTACTACAAACAAATAGGCATAGGCACCAAAGAGAACTAGACAGTGATAGCAGCGGAATTTAACGATCTAATATGCACTCCTCGCAACATTTAAATCCGTTCCCAAACAAGAGCAACCGTAATTGGGTGTCTCCACAGGGCCACCTAACTCACTCACATAACCTCTAAATCCAGCTTTATACAATGGACGGACAGAAATTTAAACAAAGCAGGCCCTGCGCCGAATGGAGAACGCGACTGATCAAAATTCAGCATTATAAGTCAGATATTTAGCGTGGCAGTTGTGTTGCAGGAGAACTGCTGACGTTGGGTAGTGGTGCATTTGGGCAGGCCAATTTTTTGAAACACGGGAGCACTTCCCTCCATAGAGACACAGGTTGGTAGAGCACGTGATCAGAACATATACACTAAAGTTACAGTGTGTGGCCAACGCTCGACTTCCCTCTACCACTGGATGAAATTCCATCCCTTGACCCTCTGACTACACACCCTTCCTCCTTCAATAAATATGACTCCGCGTATAGTAAAAAAAAGGAGTGGAAGGCAATCATCTGAATTTCAAATTCAGAACAGCGGTGGGTTTGTTCATATTTTACCAGCTTACTCTCACTAACAATCACCAGCCAGGCGATCCCAACGCACACCAAAGGTGCAACATTCTTGCCGAATAAATGCACTCCTCCAGCCTGGACTACCAAACTCGTCATCACTTCCAGCGAGTTGCACACTTGGAAACACTGTACGATCCTCTCTATGGCCGAGCTGGTATGCGAGAGGCTAATCCCTCAGGTGAATGACCGTAAACGAAAACGAGAGTGTGAAACAACACCACCGGTGCATCCACCCAAACGTCGTGAAACGCACGATAGTGAACTTACGAGTCCTGGTGGGTTCACAGTGGGCGAAATCAGCATTGATGTTCCTCGAGTCGTCCAAACTGCTGGTCCAGAGGTATGCTTATCATGGCCTTGATGGTACAGATGACAGGAGCTAATTCTTATCAAGATTAGTCTAGCAGTTTCGCTGCAACACCGTTCGTCTGAACCTAAACGACGGCACCCCGAACCCGAACATCCATCTTGTCATCGTCCGAAGCGGCCACGAGTAGAGAAGGATAAGCTCATTGAGCATTGGGTTAGCAACTACGAATGGCCCAAAAGCCCTTTAGAAGTTGACAACATGGAAGCCTTTTTTGTACGGCAGAAAACCCCGTCTCTCCGCCGTACGAAGTCGAATGCTAGCTTGAACGGGCCGAGCGAAACAAGTTCACGAGAAGCCAAGAGTAGACCTTACACTGACAAGAACTATGAGGTATTCCTTGAGTCTAAAGGAATCTTCCTGGACGATCATAAGGACGGAATCACTAGCGACAGCAAAAATTCCTGTCGAAGACTACTCGAGAAAGACTCAGAGACTCCTAGTGGAACGAGGTTTGATGATGGCGTGTTCGAATTAACCTGCCAAAGGATAAGGAAGAAAAACGAGACGGGGGTCATTCGAGTCATTGCTGAGTTGATTGTTCCTTCTGCTGAGGGTGCGATAGACCACGGTCGCGTCTCATTCCAGCACTTGGTAGAAAGTGTGAATGAAGGCTGGGATAGCTCGATTTCTCTAGATGAGGATCAACGATTGCCACCACCTGCACAAACGCCACATCTTCCCCAATCTCGACAATTTCGATTATCTCGGCCACAGCCCGATTATGCGGTCGGGTTCCCCCGGCAATCCTTCTCAGAAATTCGACTGGAAAAACTTACACCGTTTGTTGGCGAAATTGGCGATATGTCTTTCTTTATGAGTACTGCATACATGTACTTTCCGTTTATGACGGTTGAAGTGAAGTGCGGAAAGGCGGCACTCGATATAGCAGATCGACAAAATGCGCACAGTATGACTCTCTCAGTAAGAGGAGTTGTTAAGCTCTTCAGGGCCGTGAAGCGTGAAAAGGAGTTACACCGGCAGATCCTGGCCTTTTCAATTTCACACGATCACTGTTCTGTGAGAATCTATGGCCACTACCCTGTGATTGAGGGGGAGAAGACTACATACTACCGCCATCCCATTCACAAGTTCGACTTCACCTCCCTTGATGGCAAGGAGAAATGGACATCCTACAAGTTCTCTATGAGTGTGTACAATGACTGGGCACCTTTTCATTTTAAGAAAATATGCTCCGCTATTGATGAACTGCCACAGGTAAATTTTGAGGTGTCGCAGGCGTCACAGATATCACAGCAACTTGAAGTATTACATCAATCGGAGCTGAGTTTCTCAGAATCAACTGGACTTTCGCAAGGTGTCGGAGGCGTTGATACACAAGGCTCTAGTTTTACATCTGTATTGGAAGAGGCTCATGGTGTGCAGAACGCTGCCTCGGGTGCTCGGGTAACCCGGGAGAGCGAAGAGGGCTCTGCTGAAGCGTTCAATATGTCCAAGAAGAGACGTACCTTTAGATAGGTAATAATTCCGCTGATTGGAACTGATGCGGTTGCTGTATGAGCAAATAATTACATTTACATGTATACCTTTTAACATGTCCAATTATTTCTCTAATTATGTCCACTTCACTTCTAAGTTACTAAATCAGCTAGATGATCTACTACAAGAAATATGGGCCCGCAGAAGCCTTTGAGGCCAATCGCGAATCAAAATGGTGTGGGCCACGGTTTCGGATCGCAGATCATCACTAAGCTCTTTTTGGAAAGTATATCTAGTCGAAGTTTCATTGGCTGCTTTCACAAGTATGTGTCATGATGGAGCCGCCGAATCTACATTATAAATTCAAACCACTACACTCTCAAAGTCATAGCGCTTGCTGAACCCTGAAATCATGACTTCTTTCAAGAACCAATAAGATTTCAAGTATTCTGGTCTTTCACATCAAGGATTGTCAATATCAGTGGCCTTTCACTTAAAAAATATGACTTTCCCCATGGGCATTGTTTCTGTGGCCTTTCCACTCAGCATCGTGTCATCCCCTGATGGGTGTTGGCTCCCTATGGACTTTTAATTTTGTGGCCTTTTCCACTGAGATTATGGCCCTCCTCAAGGGATTTTACTATGGTGGCAAATAGTTCAAAACCGTGGCATTCCCTAAGGATGTTGACACCACATGGGATTCTATTTTTGTTGCCTTTTCACTCAGAATTCCGGCATTCCTCAAGGAGCTTACTTCCCCAAAGGGCTCACTTCCCCAAGGATTCCGACTCCACATGGGACTCACTTCCTCAAGGAGCTCACTTCCTCAGGGATGCTAACACCGCATGGGATTCTATCTTTGTTGCCTGTTCACTCAAAATTCTGACACTCCCCCAAAGGAGCTCACTTCCTCAGGGATGCTGACACCGCATGGGATTCTATCTTTGTTGCCTTTTCACTCAGAATTCCGGCGCTCCTCAAGGAGCTTACTTCACCAGGGATGCCGACACCATATGGGGTTCCATCATTACTGCCTTTTCATGCAAGATTGTGACACTCCCTGAGGGTTCGCCTTCATCGGCATTCTTGCAAATTCCCTAGTTGACTCTAATCAATGCAAGAGAAGGCGCATGAATAAATGACTATTATAATATCTAGGCATACGTCCCAGCCTTGTACCAGGAAAGCCCAGAAGAGAATTACCTCACACATTTCAAGTCTGCTTCTAGCTAAATCGGCTACCGCTTTCCTCTTACAGCAAGCTCCATGGCGGGCTCAGGAGGACAGAAAATCCATTTCAAAATATCAAAGGCTACCTTTCTGTCGTAGTTGTCTTTGCCGAGGTCGTATACAGCCCTCAGCGTCAAGGTGAGCATTGGGTTCGTTTCCGATGGGTCGCAGGTCGCTTGGACTATGCGTACTTTCCCGTAAACGAATGTGACGAGCGTGGCCTTGGCGGGTACTCTCAGCATTCGCACAATCCTATGAATACGAATAATGGGAAGAAGGTGCAAAGAGAGAAGCAAGAAGAGAGAGCGTGAACATACCGCCAAGAAACCTTCCTTGTATATGGGCTTGGCCATGTACCGGTTCTCCTCAGGAAGCCACACCATCTCATTCATCTGACGGTAAAAGATCGAAGTGACTGCCAGGAGTTCACTTTTCAGAAGATAATCTCTGCTGTTTTCTTGCAGTTTCGTATTGACTGTGCTTGAGCGATCCCGAATCATGCAGCTCCAGTGGTTATGACGAAGATAGAAAATTTGTTCCCCTTTGATGCGGGGGTGGGAATTAATTATGATGCCGATGCCCAGCCTGCGGAAAAGGGGGCCTTGAAACCTGGTAAAACAGCAAGAAAAGGTGAGCAAGGTGAATGAAGAGCATCAAATATATATCATCATACATACTCTTCAGCCTTAGTAAAGGGAACTTCATCTAGAACCTGGTGGGCCGCGGTCTTCATGAAGCCAGAGAAACCCCAATCGCTTGGGAGGTCCTGAGTTTTCTCCGGCGCAGTAACTCTCTCACACTTGTGGATAGCTTGTAGGAGCTCTGGGGATATCGAGAAAGTCACCTTCTCTCTGGTGCTGTCCCTACAACGCACCTTGAGGTCCTCTGTCTTTTGCAACCACTCGAAGGGAAACAAGTCTGACGAGTAGGAGATGTACAGGTGAAAAAGACCTGCCAGGAGCCAGCCAACCTGCTCCGGGCAATGGCATGGCTTTCTTTCTGATTCCATAACGTGCAGTTAATGGAACCGTCTACTGCTCTGCTGGTGCGATGGCGGGGTTGACCTCTGGGGGATGTTGTTGTTCCTAATCACGTGACTTAGGCACCAGCAGTCGATGGAGCATGTCGCCTACATATGGAAACGCCATGAAGATGACCCGACGGTGATACCAACCCCTTATCCTTGCATGCCCGTTTAATTTAACTGGTGATGGAACCTCTTACTGACAATGGTTCTGCAGTGGAAAACAAGGGTCAAAACCTACCATACCTTCATGGTAGCTCAAGACCACTTGTATTTCCACATTAGCATTGGGAGCTACGACAATACATATCTCGAATATATTTTTGGCTCAGGTACCCAGCCAGTGCGTCCAGCGCAAGGGGAAATTCCGTTTCTTGAGATCCAGGAATTCGGGCCATTTGACGTTACTAATGAAGAAGAGCTTGGCA